CAAAAAAAAAAAATTTGCATAACCTTTGTTTCTTATTTCTCCTGGGTATTACAGTCGTCCCAAGAAAAACTGAAGACCATGCTTATGCAAAATTTTGGGGGGCAAACAAGGTGTATTATGGGCGATGTGAAAATGGCGAATAGCACTTGAACCTTCTTGTCGTCATTGCGACGTGTTCTACCTCCATTCACCCTTAATACCTCCCATCTTACTTTTGTTTAGACCGCTGTGCTATGCCTCTCGGTTTGGAAGATAAGCGTATTACAGATGGCCATCTTACGGCCTCCACCTACTACAACCATCACCTTTCACCCTGGCATGGCCGACTGAACCACCGCTGGTCATGGAGCGTGCGGCTCAGAAGAGTAGGACAATGGTTTCAAGTGAACTTTGTAGAGTTGATGCGCATAAAAGGCGTGGCCACTCAGGGAAGGCAGGATGCAAATCAGTGGGTGAGAAGTTATACAGTCGCTTACAGCACAGGTGGGATGAATTTCGTGTCTTACAAGGAAGGTCGCACTACCAAGGTAAATATCACATTTCTGCCATACCTGTAGTCACTGATAAGATAAAAGATCGAACAGAGCGAGATAAGTATAAAAATCAAGAAAATCTAACTGTACCTCTGAAACTTTAACCTCTCTTCTATAAAATCAAAATTGTTCTGTGTTCTTCGGGATTTTTCCGAGGGAAATCGATTTTATAAAAAAACAGACGTTTCAGAAGCGAAAAAGCTAGTTCGCCATTCTCTAGTTTCCAATTGACCATAATTCACTCTGTTGGCCACAAAATTTTGCATAAGCTATTATTTTTAAATGCTCTTTAGAGGTCTGCATATTCCCAAGAGCATTTCACAACAACAGTTCATACAAAATTTGGGGGGCAAACAGAGTGAATTATGGGCAATTGGAAAATAGAGAATACTTTATTACCTTTTAATTTTTCTCAATATTCCTGAAGAAGGGAAGTCAAGCTTACCGAAACATCGAGGGTTAGGAGCAAGTAATAATACTTTCTTATCAGACCATTTAGCAAATTTTTGTAGTTATTTGAAGCAGGTTCAAAAACCACGTGCATGGGATATTTACTATCAAACTTGATATCTGGAACATTCACAGTTTTGACTGTTTCTGAAAAAAAAAATGCCTCACCGGGGAAAGAAAAAGGAAAGAACCAAACTCCACTTTCATTTTAACTGATATGTAGGTTCGATTATTTTATATCTAGTCTTGGCCCGTTTCAGTTTCAAGTCTTTTAACCGTTGCTTAAACAAAAAATGTTGTCGCCCGACATGGTTCTTGAACCCACGACCCTCAGATTAAAAGTCTGATGCTCTACCGACTGAGCTAACCGGGCTGCTCTCCCTTCATCTAAAAATCTTAAGTCTTTATATTTTCACTACTCGTTCCTCAGCCTACTTCATGCATGTTTGTTTATATTTTTTTCTTCAGGTTTTTAATGGAAACACCGACCGCCATTCCATTGTGTATCACCAGTTTACCAGGCCATTCACGGCTATACATGTTCGTTTTTATCCGCGAAGCTGGTACAGCTGGATATCTATGAGGGCTGAGGTTTATGGTTGTTCAGGTATATTTGAAATGACAATAAATATATTTACTACACGTTAGTAATGGTTAAAAGACTGAGGGAGAGGGGAGGTACAATTCAGACTGTAATTATAAGAGTGACAGGAGGGAAAAGATAAGGTCGGTAAAAGCGATTAGCCTTCACGTTTCGAGTGTCAGCTCTTCGTTGGCGCCATTAAAAGATCATGTTCACTAACATGCCATGGACTAATCTGATTATTCACCATTGTGTATTACACAGCTGCTCCGTGTAACAAACCCCTGGGATTGCAAAACCGTCGCCTCCCGGACAGTCGAATTACCGCTTCATCCGAATGGAACCACTTTCACGCGGCCAGACTCGGGAGACTGGGCCAAGTCAAGCACGGTCGCTTCGTGGGGGCCTGGTGCGCAAGGCACAACAATCACTTGCAGTGGTTCAAGTGTGACTTTGGTCGAGCAATGAAAATCACCAAAGTAGCCACCCAAGGCCGGCAGGATACCAACCAATGGGTGACGTCGTTCTATCTGTCGTCTAGCCAGGATAACGTTCATTGGGAGATGTACAAGTTCAGGAGTGCATACAAGGTGATGATGATAAATATGCTGTTTAAATACCTGTGCTTATATGGGAATGGGATGTTAATATTTAATCTCCGTAAAGTTTTGAATTTTGAAATATTTACCGTCTTCCTACACAGTTGACTTGTTCTTACGCCGGATTCACAGAGTGTTATCTTGCTTTGAAAGGTGTAATCCTCTTCCGTGTTTTAAGTTTTTCATACCTTTGACGGTTAATTTATCGCAACGTTGATTCTGCCTGGCAGGTTACAATATTTTCAAAACTAGATGCGTGACTCAAGTTGGAGCGGGTTTGGGTCTATCGGAAGTTGAACTTCGCTTTCCTATCAACCTTAGGTTCCTTAGGGAACTGCAATATAAAAGGACGTGGATTCTCCTCGGATATTTTGAAAAGAACCCCTAAGAGGTAGCAAGATCCAGTTTTGTAGGAGTGGCTTGAAATGTTTTCACCCCTAAGAGGTACCAATTCTAAAACAATACATTGACTGACACTGACTTTTCGCCTCAATTCCCTTAGAGGTGCCTCAAACGTTCCCGCTGTGGACCGTTTGAAGCTGAACACCCTAAAAAAAATACCAAAACCGCTTTTGTAACCCTAAAAGATACGACGAACACTCGTCTTTTTTTATATAGGAGTCTCCCCTCGGCGTTAGGTCAAGATAGCCTTGCTAGACGTGTGTAAAGTAATTTGAATATTCAGCAAGAAGACTGACTTTCCTCCAGGCATTTCAATAACCATGCTAAATAGCCATAAATGACATATAATTTTTCACGTTGTTATTGTGCTGGTATGTAGACTCGTTGGTATGCAGGTTACATAATTATGCTAAGAAGTTRATATTTAAGGAGTTTGTCCGTTAGGAGTTGTCACTTGGACGRCGGCAYCTCCGCTTTTGATCAGTTCATTTTGGAAATTTTGTTTTAGTAAATTTCCGTGTTTTTGTTTACTACGTTTATTGTGTTAATAACTATCCTAGGGCAATTTATGTCTGATCAATAAACGAGACGCCCCCTCCTATATGACTGATGTTTTCTTACTCATACTAAGTTAGAAATTATTTTGTTTTCCTTTCACTGCAGAGTGATTAGACAACAATTAGTTTTTTTTTTACACTCACAGCTTTTCCAAGCCAATCGTGATCAAAACAGTATTATGAAAAACGCCATCAACCCGCCGATTTTAGCAAGATATGTTAAACTCAACCCACGTGGCTGGTACAGACATATCTCTATGAGAGTCGAGTATTATGGATGTGTTGCCGGTGAGTTAACTTCTTTGTTTAGCTTCTCAATTTTAAAACTTAGCGCAAAGCTTATTACCCAAACCCTAAAACAAAATGGTTTGAGTTTTTAGAAGGACCTTAATTTTCGGGATATGAGAAGACATGGTACTTCTAGATATCAAAACGTTTGCTCAAACTAAAAATTACTTCTGTTATCTTTTTGTCGACGTCTGCAAGTTTTTCATTACTCTTCTTAGTTTCCGTCCGCAGTTTCTCTTGCGCCCTTACTTATGTTGATATTTGCGATGAAATTAAACGTTTGCAAACTCACTAGGAATGTTCAAGTATTTATCAAACACTAGAGACAGTGTTTCAACGGGATTCCCAAACACCGAGAAGAGAGTTCAAAATACGACGAGCAGCGGAGTATTTTGACGAAATTCGAGGTGTTTGAATAGCCGATGAAACACTGTCTCGAGTGTTGGATATTTCCTGTCAATCGAAGCAAAAACTAAGGAGTAAACGGAGAGGTAAAATCGTTAAAATGTATGCTTATTAATACCGGGTATCCAAAACTCATTCACGGTTGTGATTTTCTTTGTTTTAGCTTGATGAATTAGCAGTAATGAGTTTGAGAATGTTTCGTCCAGCTTAAATCAAATAGTGAACTAAACAAAAATTTGAAGTCAGTCTCATAATCCAACTAAGATATCTGTAGGTCGTGAGTTCGATCCTCACACGGGGCACACAATTTTATTTTTGTCTTCCAAATCTGTAAAAAAAAAAAAACAACATAAGAAAACCAAACCTGATGTAACCAAAAAAGTGTTAAAATAGCCGGCTACTGTACTATTTTGGTATTAATTATAAATCGGACGTCGTTCAAGGCACATTTCTTCTTTGCTTCAGTTCATCACTGTTCAGTCTCACGCATTTACTATAACTAAGTGTTATTTACCTGTGTTCATGAAAATTTAAGTTTTAAGAGCAATAATAATGTTCAAATCTTTACTTACAATGTAGATCGTTGCGATCTGCCACTTGGAATCCGAGACGGTCGCGTTACTCGCGCGATGTTCTCCGCCTCCTCAATGTACAACCACTTATATGGTCCCTGGAGCGCCAGGCTGCAGGCACAGAATCGAGGCTCCATGCGAGGCGGCTGGATTGCTAAGTACAATAACAGGCACCAGTTTCTTCAGGTTGACTTGGGAACTACCTCCAGGGTGAAGAGAATTGCCACTCAGGCACGTTATGATGCCAACCAATGGGTAAAGTCCTACACCGTGTCATACAGTAACAATGGAGTAAGGTTCTTTCCATACAGACACGGAAAGAGAGTTAAGGTAAGGTGTCTCCACTGTTTATTCTTCCGGTCATCGGAAGCACTCACCACTAGAAAAATAATGACTGAAATTTTCCAAAGGATTTTAATTGCTTTCGATCGCGTAACAATAATAGCTGCGCGATGAATAAACAAAAGTCTATGTGCTAGTGCAGTACAAGCAGTTACGCGTCACTAACCGCATGCGCGTAGCGAGCGCGGTACGCGAGACACACGCAGTAGAGGTTGGTGTTTCCACACGCGTGGGTCGAGCACTTTGTCTAAGGTTAGACGAAGAATCAAGTGTCCTCCGGCTTATTGGTCATGTGAAATTGGTCCACACTTGTTTCTTAGATTATTGTTAAAAAGCAAGACCGTTTACTGGATAGTTAAAAGAATAATTTTACACGTTTTGCATTTTTTAATTTCCAGATATTCCAGGGAAATACCGAACGATACTTTGTGGTGGTGCACAGGCTCCGCCCAACCATCAAAGCCCGGTATATACGTGTTCATCCCAGGACCTGGTACGGGCATATCTCCTTGAGAATGGAGTTGTACGGCTGTAGACTGGGTAGGAGTCCCAAATGTATACATGTATACGCGGCGATAACACCAAATGTTAAAAACTTGTCTTCTTTACGTAATGTAAAATTTGTAATCAGTTTACTTCAAGCGACGTCGGGCCTGAGAAAATTAAGGAATCAAGCAACAACAATTTAAGTCAGCGGTTTAGTTTCCTTTCGTTGTTTCTTTGTACTCAGAAGTTTTACATTAGTGTCATCATTTTTAAAGATTTATTATGACTTTTTTTATTTGTAATTATCTTTTATTTCGTATAGAAACGATTCTGAAGCAATTTTGGGATAGAACTTACTCATATTTTCAATTTTCCTCACGGAACTCCGTTTAAGTTAATGAAACTATTGCTACGAAATGTTATTAGAACGCTTCAATTTCCAAGCATGATTGAATACTTATTTCGTCTTCAGCTTCAATACATTATTATGTAGAGAGGTAATGAGAATACAGAAAATCGTCATCTAGAGATCTCTGGATTCCAAATTCTCAGAGCTAACTTTAAAGCAAACGTGTGACAATAAGTTAGGAGATTTGATATTTTGATCTTGGAGTTGAAAATCGCTGAGCCCTTTTTTCACAGTCAGTGCACTTATCTCTAGCAACTTAGTTTTCACCTTCAAACGTCATCAGGTGTTCTTTGCAACCGACCAATGGGAATGCAGTCAGGTCGTATCAAGAACCAGAAAATAACAGCAGCATCCTCGTGGGATCGTTACCATGGCCCTTACCTGGCGCGGCTCAACCGAAGGCGTCGGGGGCGATACATCGGAGCTTGGTCAGCCAAGTACAACAATCACTTCCAGTGGCTCCAGTGTGACTTTGGAAGAGCAGCGAAGATTATTAAGATGTCAATACAGGGGCGACAAGATCTGAATCAGTGGGTCACGCAGTATTACGTGACCAGGAGTCTTGATGCAGTCCACTTCATGCATTATAAAGAACGGAATAACATTAAGGTATGTGAAACGTGCTCAGTGGCTATCTTCCATATTTATAAAAGATGTTTTTGAGAACGTATTTTGTTGAGTTTCCCTTTGCACGCCCGTTTTATATCATCATTTATCCACCCTCGTGCAGTGATCGCGCCACACTGAAGGGGTCGACTGGATTGAATTTTGACTAATCTTCGATTTGGAAACCCTTTGCCCAGAGACCATAAATGCTAGTTTACGTTTCTAGAACAAACTTCGAAGGCGTTTTTGAAAATAAGTCTTGTTGGAGAAAACACGAAACTTCTTTATCGTTTACTTGTGGAGGAATGATTAAGGGCCCATTAACCGATTTATGCGCGCGCTCGCGCGCTTTGCTGAGGAGGTGAAATTTCACTTCCGGTTAATTACGTCAGCCTGAGCGCGGAAAATACAAGAAAATCAATAATTTGCAAATTCGCTTACATTTTAGATGTTTTTCTTTGTTTTCCACAAAATGCAAAGTAAAAAAAGTACAACCAAAGACAAAATAAGAGAAAGACAG